ACCTAGTTCAATTCTCCACATTTTGGTCCTTTTCGCTCCAAATTCGCTCATTTTTGCATCTTTTTGCTTCAATGACCCTAATTCATCATTCCTGTAACAAAACATCAAAAATAATTTTCTTTAAAGTGCAATAACATCAAAAACAGTATAAAATAGGTATGAAAATCTCAACATATTTTTCTTTGATCACATTTATATAGATACCACTTAATTCTTATGTATTTACATATCCAATACAAAAAATTTATTTTTCGTATTCATAGCTAAAATTATGTAAATTTTATTAGTTTTTTAAATTTAACATAATTTTTTTTATAAATATTATATTAATATTATATATTTATTATTTTATTAATTCAAGACAAATTGAGCTAAACATGAAAAAACAAAATTTTGTTTGTGTTCAACTAGCCGAACACGATTTGTGTGCAACCAATGAGCTTTTTTGATAGCCCTACTTATAAAAGTATCATGTCTAAATTGTTAGTTGAACAAGATGAGAATTTAGAATCAAGTAAGAGATGTTCCTTTTTCAATACATTTTAATTATGCCATCAAGGAATGAGAGCATTCTGATTTTGATGCTTGAGAATGTTTTAGGAACACTTTTGGTCGGCTATCATTGTGGTCACCAAAATTTCAACAATCTTGTTGTCAGTTGAGCAATGGAAGAACACGGAATTAAAAAGCTGAGTATGTGAACTCTGCTTAACAAAGTTAGTCAAATGCTGTCCATTGTGGTCTGGTAGTGGCAACTGCACTGCCGCAGTACCAAACAGATCTTGGTAATTATTATATTTTAATTACCATTTTCACTTTTTTTACGTGTAGCGTTGCACTTAGTACATTTATATGATATTCTATCTTAATATAAAAATGTGAACTTGTAGCACTCTAGTCTGTAATTTGTTTCATATAAGCTCAGGATAATGATCTCTGTATGGCATATTGCAGCCCATGCACATGAAAAATTAAAGTAGCTTTTGCTTTATTTAAAATAACTTTTTCTTTTTCTTTTTACCTTAATTTCTAGATTAAGTAACACTTTTATAGTATGTTATTCTTATTGTATTACTTTTGTTTCTCTTTTATCATGGTGCTTTTTTTCTTTGCATGTTCATATCTTTGTATTCGTCATTAGATTATTCTTTGTATATATATCATTTTTATCTGGGGTTACCATCCTATTGCCAGTTTTATCAGATGATGGCAAATTTTTACTTGCTGCACGCAAATGTCGACATGCTACCTGCACTGACTATCTAATCTCAATAGATGCTGATGACATGTCGAAAGGAAGTGGTGCTTATGTTGGGAAGTTGAGGTATGCTTAAACCTAAATATGCAAGGTTTATGATTTATTGTAGCATGGTGATCAGTATTTTCAAGTTAGAGTGCTTGATGATATGTATGAACTTCTTCTTAGAAATGTATTGATGTCAACAACTACTTGATGAGCAGGGAATGAGTGGGCTTTATGCGGATGAAATATGGTTCAGTTCGACAATATTGTGTTGTGCTTTGTTATTTTGTACTAGATGCGTTTTTCCATGAAGTAAAACATATGCTTGCTTGGTGAACTTCTTATCTAAAGTGTTATGATAGGTGATATTATTTGGTAGAAAAAGTTGCTAGAGTAATATGAATTGATCAAATGGCTAAAATAGACATTATTATAAGTAACAAATAGATAATCTTCATTTATTTAATAAGGTATTGTGTATTATTGTGAGATTATTAATTAATAATTATGCACATATGAAGTGAATCAACTTATAATATTTAATAATATATTAATTATAACATAATTTATTTTGTAATAATAATAGGCAAATTTTTTTATAAAAAATAATTTTATAGAGTACATTTATCACAGGAGTATCTCACATGATAGTTAAGAAGGAATGAGCATAATTAAGGGAATGTTTGAGGACATTTGCACGTATCATAAAATCAAAAGGGCAATTTTGGCTTGAATTTTTAAAAAACACCTTTTAACACAACCGATAATGTTAAAATTGATTCTGTTGCTAAAAAGCATGATCAGCTAAGAGGTATACACGCATTTACTTTCCTAAATATGGTTTCATGTCACTTGAACACTTTTAGTAGATTAGTTACGATAGTAAATACTCCCAAAAATTAAATTAATTGGTGTCTTTTGAACTTTTAATCAGTTCACTTTATTGAACCATGTGTTCTTGTGGCTCCTTATTTTAATTCTAGCTTTTTGACTGCGGACATCTATGTTCAGTCTGCCTTGATATTGACACTTGCTCAAATTATATTTGTTCACATTACCTGCATGGCCAATTAACCAATGTGCTTTTCTGCCAGTAGCAGAAATAGAATAGAATCATGTGTGGATAATTTTTGTTGCTTCAGTAGTTGTAAGTCATTCTAGTCGCTTTAAATAGAGTTTGTTGAAAGCATCCATATTATGTTTCTAGACAACCTACAAGAAGCCAATAATTTTTTTGTCATGAAATTGGTGATCGATGTTATGTACTGGTTATCATTATTATATAATATTGAACGTCTGACCAAGTTAAGCGTTTTCAGGGTTATGTGGTGTTAATTTTAATTTGGAAAAATGGAAAACATAAATTTTTAATTGTATCTTTTGATGGTATGATTTATTTCGTAAATCAATGATATAAACTTATTTTTTGCTCTCAGCTCATTTACTCTTTGGCAGATCAAATTTTCTGGGCAGAAAATTTACAGTTTATGATTCTCAACCTCCCCCTACTGAAGCCATGCTCTCAAAATGTCATTCCACACGTCTTCTAGGCTCTAAACAAGTCTCTCCAAGGATCCCTGCTGGAAACTATCCGGTTGTACACATTGCTTATGACTTGAATGTATTAGGCTCTCGGTGAGGATTGTTTTTTCTTGGAGCACATCTTCTTTTATAAGAAACAATGAGTTGTGTGCTAGAACTACCAACTAAAGTCTTATACAGGTTTCTTCTGTTTGTGGATGGTAGGGGCTTCCTTATTTATGACAAGCTTTCTGAATTCTTGAAAACACAAAACTAAGCATTGCCTTGTTTCATTCTCAAGCATCTTCATGGATCTCTTCTGTTCTGCAGATCTTGTTGAATGATTCAGATGCCACTGCTTAGTTTGCTTCAAATTAATGTTATGCTTGTGATGTAAAAAATGGGGGATAAATGGATACTGTTATTGGGAAAAATATGTTCAGTTCACAACAATGGACGTAAAATGCTTAAAAATATATTATAATCAGTTAAACTTTATAGGCATATGTTAACATTGGCTGTATGACCAGATGTCCCAGGAGAATGCACTGTGTCCTGGATTCTATCCCTGCCACTGTAATGGAACCTGGTGGAGTAGCGCCCATACAAACTGACTTTCCTCGTAACAGCATTGATTCCATCTCATCAATTCCATTTTTTAGGTTCAAATCATCTCGTATGGATAACTTCTCTGGCCTTTCAAATACTCAGCAGGAAGTAAATTTGATTTTAAAAAACAAAGCTCCAAGGTGGCACGAACAGCTTCAATGTTGGTGTCTAAATTTTCGTGGGCGGGTGACAGTTGCATCAGTGAAGAATTTTCAGCTGGTTGCTGAAGATAATGGAATCGACGGGCAGAATAATAATGATGTGATTCTCCAGTTTGGGAAGGTTGGGAAGGATTTGTTCACTATGGATTATCAGTATCCAATATCAGCTTTTCAGGCATTTTCTATCTGCCTGAGTAGCTTTGATACCAAACTAGCCTGCGAGTAAGGGGTGTGTCTGGTTTCCCCTGGATGCGATTATATAAGTACTTCATCATAATAAAGCATTAACTGAAGTACATAGGGATTTTCATGTGTCACGAGGTAATTATGTTTTGATTGGAAGTTAATGTGTTTCACTATGATGGATTGATAAACATTCATTCATATTAGATTGAAGTTATAAATGAATTATAAGCAGCTTATATTATGAATTTACAAAATTCAACCCAAGCCAACTTTGCTTCCCATTTTGCTTGACCTTTTAAGAGGACTGCTGTTCCAAACTGTCATTTTACTCTGTTGATAATGATAAAATACGCCTACATCATGCCTTGATTATGATTTTTATTTTACCATATTCCTGCAATACTTAAGAGGAAATAATGAAATTTTTTTGCTCAGAAAAACAATCTCAAATAGTTGGAATAAGTCTAATGTCAATGATAGTGGAGCCATTGCTACTTGTATTAGTTTTTGTTGCTACTTATATTAGTTTTTGTTTTGCTCTCTGCCTGATTTGGTTGGTTTTAATGTATAATAGTTGTAGATTTTTATCTTTGAAGTACAAAATAAATCATCAAAAGAAATAATTGTCTTGGATTAGATGATAGAATTCAAGATATAAGATGTTGCTAATTTCTTAAGGTTGTTTGTTATTAGAGGAAAATTGAATTTCTGTAGTTATATCAAACTTGATATGAGATAAGGTGGTTAGTTGCTTAAGCAAATTTGCCATAGAAGTCTTATGAGATTATGAAATATATTATACATGGATTAAAAGGCTTGATGTTGAAATGAGAAGGTACAAAAACCTATCTGGCAAACATACTTTGATTTTAAGAAAGTGGTGAGAAATAAATATTATTTGAGATTTATAAGGTTTTAATAAAGCTAGAAACCTTACAATGACAGCAGGAAGCAAAGCAAAGCTATAACCCTTGATGCTTTTATATAACCAGCTATGTATTAGGGAAGGAGAAAGGGAGATGCATATTTGTGAAATGCTAAAGTTTATACTCGCTAGAAATATATG